GGGGAGATTTCCATGATGGAAGATAGTACTTGTGAGTCCTTTGAACCACTTAAAACCCTTGACCTTCCACATGCGCCAGCCCGTGTTGTTGAACCTGAATCAAACTCTCCTCCTGTTCCAGCTGATCCCGAGTCCTCTGAACCAATCACATCTGAGTCACCTGATCCTGAACTCTTATCATCTCCTACTCCAACTAGTGTCACTCACGATTTTCCAAGATTTTCTCAGGTGTATTCAAGAAGAAAAGCCGTTCCTGAACTGACACAAGCCCAAGAATTCAATCCACTCTATCTACTATCTCACTATGTATTTCTCAAGCGTCTATCACCAGCCCACAAAAGATTCATTGTGAGTTTGAACACCATTGTCATTCCTAACAATGTGTCTGAGGCATTAACAAAAAAGGAATGGAGAGACGCTATGAAAGAGGAAATGAGTGCTTTAGCAAGTGGATTTTTACATTAAAATACAAGGCTGATGGATCCCTTGAAAGATATAAGGCAAGTTTAGTAGTCAAAGGGTACACTCAGACTTACAGGGTGGATTATCAGGAAACCTTTGCTCCAGTTGCAAAAATGAACACTGTGAGAATCCTGTTATCATTGGCTGCTCACTTCAATTGGCAACTGCTACAGTATGATGTAAAAAATGTTTTCCTTCATGGTGACCTAAATGAAGAAATCTATATGAACATCCCTCTGGGAGTTGAAGGGGCAGGTAACAAGGTGTGCAAGCTGAAAAAAATCATTTATGAGCTAAAACAATCTCCTAGAGCATGGTTTGGCAGATTTACAACAGATTTATGGCAGATTTACAAAAGTCATGAAGGAATCTGAGTATAATCAAAGACAAGGTGACCACACTCTTTTCATTAAACATTCAGCTGCAGCAGGAGTGAGTCAGTGAGTGCTCTTTTAGTCTATGTGGACGACATCATAGTGACTAGAAATGATGAGAAAGAGAAGCATGAATTGAAGCTGAGACTAGTAAGAGAATTTGAAATCAAGGAACTGGGGAAATTGAAGTACTTCCT